CACATGGGCATTTAAACGATCGTCGTGGAGCAAATTTTTCTTCCAAGTGTCAGAATCAATCTGACACTTGGAAATTTTGATTTCTATGCATCGCTCCTTAAATGAAAATATTAAACAGTGTAACGATATATTTTATTCTCTATCTTATTGTCACATGTCAAAGATACTGTGCATAAGAATAAAGAAAATGAATTTTACATACTTAACCGTTAGTTCTTTTACTGTTATTTTTCAAACCTTTAAGATCTAATGATACATACGTACTAGAGATATATATGTAGCGTCTGTTAAAAAATCATATTATATCATTGGTAACTATTCAGTTTAACTAAGGCCTGTTTTAAAGGAAATAGTTTAAATTTTAATTAAAAGATAATATGGCATAAATACAATCATAAAATATAAAAAATTATTAACGTAGTAATTAGGTTGGAAAGTTCTTGGATTAACAATGTAAGGTTTAATTTTCGCATGGCGATTACTGAACTATAACTATAATAGTTTAAATTTCGGATGTCTATATACATATAATATACATATAAGGGGAAGTTGCTTATATCATACCTCTTAATATTTAAATTTTAACAAAAATATTGAAGAGCTTAGAATATTTCTGTACTTATATCAAAATATGGTTTATTGTTAATAAAATAAAACAACATTTTTACGGAAATAAACATTGAACTATTATTTAAATTAAGATTTTTAAAAAGTAGCTTTTGGTACAATTTAGAGACCGGGTTGTTAAATTGTACCATTGCGTTGCTAAATCATACGTCTAATAAACAATTATTAGTTTTTGCAAAGAAAGATCTAAATTTTTTTTAAATTCAACAAGTAATTTTTTTTTACCATATACCATAACACTTATTTGTCTATTTACATAGATTTCCAGTTTAATGACTTCTATTCCCCCAGACTTTATTTTTCCTTACTTATAATATTTATTTCTTAACGCTCATTTACATACGTGACTCTGCTTTTGATACTGTGAGCATTATATCTTATAAGAAATTTGTACTGGTTTTATCCGTTGTGTCGATCTTAATTTAACTTATTGTATTTTATTGTACAGTTATGGGGAGTACAGTATAGATAAGTCTCCATAATAATAATTTATTATCCTTTTTTTTTAATAACTGTCCTCCTTATTAATAATATCTTTGCTTTAGCTCGCACTTAAACAGCTAACCGACGGTTACTCTAGATTTGGTAATCTGAGAGACTTTCCATGCTGCACTTTATTACTTCTTCGTACGATTACCTGATGGTGTATCAAGAATTGTAATTATGCAAGACTGTTAAAGATGGCTCGATTTGAAACATATGTTAATAGTATAATCGCATTAACTACCACGTATTAAGACTCTTAATTGCTCGTTGTCTCTATTTAATATTTATTTAAATAATTTCTATAAATAATTTGTAATAAATTATCTTAAAAAGCTCAACACAAACATAGACATTATACTTTTCTCTTATACAAATATCAAAATATAATAATTACAAAAGTATCATTCATTACTCAATCATGTTATTTTATCTTAAATGTAGGTATAATGTACAAACTATAGTGACAAGTATTATACAACTACTCAACTTTAGTATGTTATTTTCAGAATTGGGAAGCGTTACTTTTTCGTTACTTTTTATAATAAATAATTTTTATAATTTGATAATGACGTTGCAATTTTTTATAATAAAACGCTAAGGTTGTGCTAAGTCGACTTTTCCAACCTTGACACAACCTTAGCATTTAATTATAAAAAATTAGATACAGTATCAAATGAATTTATGTATCTTTAAGAAGTTACATGTTACAATACTTCTATATTACGATCAATATTATATAAAAAAAGCTAATCTCCGGAAAAAAGGCTTAAGTAGAATTGTGCTTTTATTCCGTCCATCCCCTCAATTATTCACATTGCATCTTAGGTAAATTATACGAAAACTTAGATCAGACATCGAACAATATCAATTTTGAATGTCATTCGTAAACGGACCGCTCAAAGACAAAACGAAAATAACCTTAAATACTTAAGTCATATTATTAGCGTCACGTCTGTGTCGTCACCTTTAAAAAAAAATTTTTGTTCAGAAAATAATTTCTATAATAATAGAGATTTAACCGTCGGTATGACTTAGCCAACTCCTCCCTATATACAATATATGTGCATATACAGGGTGGGCCAAAAGTCTGGATATACTCAAATATCTCATAAACGATGCATTTTAGAAAAAAATGTTTCTTACAAAAATTGTAAAGCTTAAAAAAACGCATTCAACGATTAATAGTTATTTAACCTAGAATGGCGTTGTCAAGGTCAGGTCAAGGTCAACATAAATTTTTTTAATGGAACCCCCCCCCCCCTTTTTTTATTACATATTCTTGTAGCTTATCTCGAGAGCTTTCCAAAACACTATAATTAAGTTCATTTTCATTAAGTACTTTGCAAGTTATAAGGCTTGAAAATTACAGTACCGTCGGCACTAACATTACCCAAGATGTCCGACCGACGGCTGAAACCTCTTAAATGTTGTTCAGGATCATGTCCTTGGTCATTGGAGATTGTTTCTCTTATTTTCAGGATCAGGTCATTGGAGATTGTTTCTCTTATTTTCATTTTTACATGAAATTTTCAGTGCAAAAATGAAATCGTTGGTTGGACACCTTAATATTAATGTCGGCGGTGCTGTAACTTCCAAGCCTTATAACTCGCAAAGTACTTGATGAAAATGAATTTAATTATAGTGTTTTGGAAAGCTCTCGAAATAAGCTACAAGAATATGTAATAAAAAAAGGGTGGTTGCATTTAAAAAATTCATGTTGACCTTGATCTGACCTTGACAACGTCATTCCAGGTTAAATAACTACTTGTTGAATGCGTCTTTTTAAGCCTTACAACTTTTGTAAGAAATATTTTTTTCTAAAATGCATCGTTATGAGATATTTGGGTGTATCCAGACTTTTGGCTCACCCTGTATATACATATATACAGGGTGTCCGAAAAATCGTTCGCAATATTTCGAGATAATTCGGAATCCAAAAAGAAGGGAAAAAAAGCTATATAAACATAGGTCTGGAAATAAGCCGTTTCCGAGTTATAACCACTTTTATGTTTAAAAATTAGTAATTTATTGTTTATATCGCAATCGTAATTTATTTCATAGTGTTTTAACATAAATAACTACATTTCGGACTATTTTGGTGTTACCCAAGATGCATCACGTGGAGGCATAGTCCGCTTGGCATCTCTCTAGTAAAGTAAAAAAAAATAAAAATAAAAAAATAAAAAGAGAGATGTCAAGTGAACTATGTGTGAGACATTGTATCCAGACTCTTTGGCACTTGTGAAGAAGATACCGTGAAAATCTCAAAAGTACACGGAGAGAATTTTTTCTTAGAATTTACCCTGAAAATATGACAATCGTGGGACAACATTGTATTTCGAAGAATTTTAATATAAATCTCTCTCATTCATTAATAAAACTACAATAAAGTATAAAATAAGTTTGATCAATTTTACTGAAGTGCATGGTAAAAATCTTTAAAATATTGTATTGTACCACAATCACCATATTTTCAGGGTAAATTTTAAAAGAAAATTCTCTCCGTGTATTATCACAATAGATCCTGGGCATTTTTCCATTCTTGTTATTTATCAATATTAAGGATAGAATAATTCCCTGCGTTACACTATATCCTTGCTAGAAAAACGCCTATTATATTACCAATTTTTCAAAGAAATCAAATCAAGATTAAAGTACGACGTAAAATTTGTAGTTATTAGTATTATATTTTTATGTATAGATATATGTTTTATAAAACTTTATGTTTGTTTCAAGAAAAAGAAAAAATGTGAAAATATTTAAGATATCTTTTCAAATATTCATATATTTTATTATTATTATTTGTTCTAAAACTTTTATTGTTTCTAAAATTAGGGCATTATGTAATATACCGTGTAAATATTTTAGTCGATTTGATGATGTTAAATACATTTTTGGAACGTTCTGTAACAAACAGAATATTTTTTCCACATTCGTAAATTTCGCATTTTATATTCTTGTAGTTATTTAACTGATCACTTTTCATATTCGATACATCGAATTGAGAGAACCAATAACGAGAGACGGTTTTTAAGTCCGCGCGTGTTTCACGGCCGATTCCCCAAGGATTAAGGGCTAAGCCCTAATCCGTTAATTTCATTCCATCTTTCCGCATCGAGCCTTTATCTCTATTACTAGTATTACCCTTCGGACGTATTTGGCTAAGTTTCCGAGTATTCCCTCCCCGCGTTTCGGCTTTTAAACTTATTCTTCCCAGACGCGCACAGTGCGATCATCAACCAGGTCTGCTCTCCAGATTACGGTCGTAAATCGCCGGCTTCCCTTTGCGCTGTCGAGGCGGCATCGCATCGGTTTTGTATCGGGGCGGCGATGCGTCCAACCTACATCACGAGGGTGAAGCGTACTTCCTCCTCGGTATCCCCGGCTTGTTGCTCGTTTGGACAAAATTCACAAATCGCTTTAGCTATCTTTCAAGGAGCTTTAGTTAAATCGAACAATCATAACGTTAAAAAGCAGGCTGTATACGTGCGCGAGTGAGGAAAATAATAAGAAGATAGAAAATAATGATGCCAAAATTTGTTTTTTTTGCGCGAACTATTAATATAATTATTTTATTCATGTGAGAGAAGAGAGAGAGAGAGAAGAGTTGTACAAATCCTTATATTAATTTTTATATTAATAGTATTTCTTAATATTTAATTTCATTTTTTTTATTTTTAATCAATAGTGTTAAAAACGTTGGACTACATATATTTAATTCATATATTTTTTGTGAAATATCTGTAAATGACAAAAAAGATTCTGAATTATAGATAACATAATAGTAAATATTATTTGTAAAGATAAAATAATCAGATAGATGATATGTATGTGTTTTAATCGTACTGAGAGATAACATTTTATAATTATGTTAATTCTATTTTTAGGTTACGCCAGGAACGGACCTAATTATTATGGTAAATTAATCGGAACCCTACAAGAGTACGCACATGGCATCAAAGGTAAAGTATATGCCGTTGATGATGCAACGATATTCATAAAAGGATTTTGCTACGACGGCACCGGCCCAGATGCTTACTTCTGGGTTGGCAACACCAGCCAACCCAATCCCGAAGGTTACATTATACCTTATCCCGAGACTGATAAGGGCAGGTAACTGATATTTTATTTTTTACATTTATGATATTATATTGTAATATTATATTGTGAGGGAAAACGCGTATATCTCTTTTTTAATTATGTAATAATTTATAGTAACATAACTAGAAGAGTTATTTATAGAGAAGGAAGTAGCACGCGTAATTAATACAAATTAATTAGGCAATTTTTAATCTTGACATATATTATTTCGATATTTATATATAATTATATGAGAAAAACATGTATTTTTTTAAAGAATTGATTGATCATATAGAGATTTACAACAATATAAGTAAACTACAGTCAGTAAGTTTGTAGAAGAAAATAACATAATTAATTAAAATTAATTAAACCATTTGATGTAAGCAATAAAATTGCTCGTGCCATATAATGATAAGCAAGCAATTTTATGTGAGATTGATAATCCGACTGTCGCGGTCAATGTGGAAAGATGAGGCTATCAGTGTATACGGCGTTTTGTATATACCAAAACGATACTCGTTGCACACGATTTTTCGAACGTGTACTAAAGTGGGTAGGAAGCAGCCGAGTAGAAACGTAATAAAGTGCTCGCGCAGATGAAATCCGAACGAGATTGGCGTATAATTCCCGTTTTATTAACTGCACTCTCCCGCGCAACGACTCGCTCGTTCGGCCTTCCTTCTGTTTTTCACCCCCCATCCCTCACCTTTCCCTTTCCCCCCGTCACCCCTTTTCATATACGGCCACGCGCACAACGGGCTCTTTGAATTTCATTTCATCCCTTGGTTACGGACTGCCGCGCGTTCGCTCCGCATCACTCTCGCCACCTCTCTTATACCCGCGCTCTTTTCGGCCTTCTACATCCCTGACCGCGTGCACAACTCGCCTTCGTCCATTTCCCCTCGGAAAGCCTTGCTCGCTTGATCGTTCGCACGACACACAAAGTCGGCGATACTAAGAAACATCTAAAATCAATCGAATCTGTCATTATAACAAATGGGATAATAGTCTATATAACTCCCGTAAATTTAAATGATTTATGGAATACGCTAAAAATATGAGAACAGTACAAAACATACAAAACAGTTCAAGTTTATCTAATTACAGTGTGATGTAAATATGTAAATGTCAGAAATGGCTGAATTTCAGAAATAGAAGCACTGCAGTTTTTATTGTTGCCCGAGCAGTTCTGAGTTCCGATTCACGAACTTGCGATTTTCGGAAATAATTGCTTCAATTACATTCTATGTCAGTTACGTTTAAACCTTTTTATGTTACTACTTTTAGGTATGTTACTCTCATTTCTTTCTTTCCTCTTCAACAGCGATCCACGAGTATTGGAGGCATACAACTACACAGACATTATCCTGAGGCTACCCGGAGGAAAACGCATACGAGACATTAAATGGCTGAGCGTTTGGTGCAGAAGATTTACGGTGAGTAAATTGTAGTGATCGATCTTGATATTTTCCGTATGCTAATTGCATACGCCGTATACAATTTATTCAAACAAAATCAGAGTTTAATTTAAACTCTTCCCATTTCGACGAATCGTTTATGCATCTCGTATCGAAATATTATGGATAACTGAACATCTTGCCTAGCGCTTTAAATATTTTGTGTAGTAACGATTATTATCCGCATTCAGCAGAACATTTATTTTGCAACTGTTGTAAGTTTTCTCTTCGTTGAAATAGACTATTCCTTTAGATCTAAAAATAATCTAATGAACGCGAAGAAAACTTCCAATGATTAAGTTCAAAACCTACAACGGTTGACGACACAACTGAACGAACGCTCAGTTGTCAATTACCTGTGATTGGAGTAAATCTATGATAAATTTGAAAAAATATAGGAGTATATCAATAGAGCAAGGAGCGTTGACTCAACTGTTGTATTTTTTGCACTGTTAAATTCATAATATCAAATTATATTTTTTCAATTCGAGTTATTTTTAATTATTTCTAAAGGTCTCTCTCTCTCTCTCGCCATTGCTCCTACTCAATATTTCGATAATTTTATTAAACAATGGAATTGAACAATTTAACTAAAGAAAATATATTAAGTTTGACTAAAAAAGAGAGAAGATAGAATTTATTATTTCATAATAATAAGTACATACGTTAATATGGATATTATTTACTTTGAAATTAAGCACAGAAATGGATTGATTTACATTTCGAATTACTCATTTTCGATATTTGCGGTAGATTTCAAGTTGTTTCTCAAAGGATATGCGCGTGCGAGACGCAAGACGTTCCCTGTTTGTCTCTCCGGTATATCGCGCAAAGCGCGGCACATTTTATTCCAAACGCCACGATGCGCGGAGAATAGAGATAACTTGATTTTTGAGGCGGTTCAGAGAAGCTCTATCAGACGTCGCATTCGAGGTCAATGGTGCGTATGAGATGGATACAAAAGCCGCGTCTAGGGGCCCTGTACGCGTGCACGTGCGTGTGAGTGGGTTCCAAAAGCCCTTCCCTTTTTTCTCGGCTTTCTCCGGCTTCTCTATTCGGGTGCACGCCTGTCTAAACGCGCGTGCGATTCCGGCGTCTCTTTATCTTTCTGGTATATCTTCTTTGCGCGTGTGATTGTGAGTAAACATACAGCGTTGGCGATATCACGCTTACAAAAAAATATTGAAATTTCTTTTTGATATTCATAGCTTGAAACAAAATTTATGAATTTAATATTCAACTTGAAAACATTTCATGACAGATGACTTATTTTTTTCATAACCTACAGAACCTTACAATAACTTACGAAAAGAACAGTAATATATCTAAAAATTTACCTAGATACAGATCTGAAAATAATTTCATTGAACCATCAAAATAATTATGTAGGATGATTAAATTGTGTAGAATTAATTATGTAGGACGGTCAAAACGGCTTTCGCAGCATTGCTCATCATGTTTGAGATTTCTACATAATTCTTTTAATGATCCGATAAAATTATTTTAAGATTTTTGTATCTGTATTTAAATTTTTAGATATGCTCCGTATATAGATAATTTTCGGTGAGATATTTTCAATTAATTTTCTATTCAAAGATGCCCTATACATTTTCTTCTCTTCTCCTGCCTTTTCATGTTTTAAAATTCAAATAAGATATTCGATAAGATAATTCGGTAAGATAAGTTTATAAGATATTTTCTTAGAAGATTACGACTATACATTTTCTTCCCTTCTCCTGCCTTCTCATATTTTAAAATTCAAGAAAATTTAGTGCTCCTTCCTTTCTTTTGTATTTTACACGTTTGCATATGCTTATTCTCGAGTTAATCCAATGCTTAGCTCTTTTTCATCTCCTCTCTTTTAAGAAGACACAAATTAGAAGGTAGAGATATATTCTCTTAAATAGATTTCGCTTTTCGCTTAAAAGACGATATTTAAAAAGTGCCCGCGCGAGTCTACGTTTCACCGGAGCTACCCTTTAGGTTTTCCTTTTCCCCCTTTTATCGGACTTACACGTATGAATATAACGACACACAAACGCGATATCGCTGCCTCTAGGAAGGGAAAAAGGTTTGAGGCGAACATATCGACGGTGGAGAGTGGAGCTTTTGCTCTTATATTAGAGGAGGGCTTTAATATCGAAGTCTGAGGGGTGCTCCCGCACCGTGACAACCCTCCATCAGACACGCTCTGTCACCGCAAAACGCGCTGTCCGCCGCCTACGGTCCTTTCTACCGGGTGTCCCATTACGATCGTTGCGAGTCTTCGTAACTGGAGGGTTTGGTATAAATCGCTCCTGTTTGCGGCCGCCCCACCGCACCATTCGACAAGCGTCTAACCCGGAGGGAGGGAGGATTCCGTTCGGGGGAAAGATTTTACGGCGCGGCGATAGGTTTTGCTGTACCTATACAGTATAGCGTCGTAAAAAGTATCAAAGAGGTACTATTATTAAGTAGCAAAAATGAGTGTTCTTATTACAAAGAAATAAACAATTGCCTGCCAGTGATAGTTGCTATCGAACTGATAGCGCCTGTCACTACGGTTGAAAAACTTGCCTTCGGTCTCTGCGGTATTTATTGAACGTCCTGACCACGGTTGCCAGGTCTCCAGATTTTGACTGGAATCTCCAGTTTTCGGCACCAATCTCCAGTTCTCCAGTCGACGAGAAAAATCTCCAGTTTTTCACTAGCTAGTATTTTGTTCATCATTTTATGGATTTCATGACAAAATCATTACTTGCTATTGAAAAGAAGCATTTAACTTGTATTGAATTAGATGAAATAATGAGATCGCTAAGAATGAAATTAGAAGTTAGGATAAAGGATACATTTTTTAGAAGTACAGCAAATTCTGTACTTAAATGCATGCTAAATAAAGAAATATTTATTAACGAAGCTTTATCGGTATATAAAAGAGCAATGAATTATCTTGAAAAATAGTATGATTATGATGCAACAATTTACAAAGAAATGAGAGCTCTTGATTTAAAAAGTAATAACTTTGATTATGAAAATATTTTGAAAATTGCAGCCCATCTTAATTTAACTGTCAATGGAGATAAATTATATGAAGAAGTGTGTATTACAAAGAATTTGATACCTTTTGATCCTAACAATACATTGGATGAAAAATGGAAAAAAAAATTTTTAAACAATGATTGCCACTTCTTTACTGAGTTATCGAAAATATTACAAAATGTCCTTGCAATACCAGTGAACAATAGTTACGTAGAAAGAATTTTTTCAATAGTAAATAATCTATGGACTGACGAACGTAATCATTTGCATGTCGAATCAATAAAAGCAGAAGTGTGCGTCAAAGAAAATTATAATTTAGATTGTGTAAAAAGTTTTACAATTTCTTGAAAGAACCTGAACAAAGAGAGTTACTGAAATGTGCAATGAATAAAAAAAAAATATTATTTCAATAGAAAGAAATAGTGAGGAAATAATATGTCATGTTTCATCGTTATCGTATAAAGTAGTATAGTTTTCTTTTTTCATTTAAACAATCTTATATAACGATTAACGCGCTGTATGATGCAATATTAATTGTGATTATGCTCGCAATTTGTTAAGTTACACGAATAATGTTATTTCTTTGTTAGCGAACTATATGTAACTCGAGCTGTACGCAAATGTTCTCTAAAAATAATATTTTTAAAATAAAAAGTCTGATAGTGTTGACACGTTATGTTGGTCAATTTCTTTGGCGTCTCCTTTTTTTTTAAACAATAGACCGACCTCCAGTCGAAACATGAAATCTCCAACGCACGGACCTTCGGGCTCCAGCCGTGCAGTGCTCGGGACCTGGCAACCGTGGTCCTGACCCCGAATGGCGGTACTATCTAAAAAAAACTTGAAATGTTTCTGATCAAACAGGATATTTCTTGATTACGGTCGATCACAAAAGGAAATCTTATAATGCACATTATTGGAACGTTTCTAAGAGTTCCGACTTTTAGAAGCGCACGCTTCCCTTTCTGCGATTTATAAAAGAAGTGGTAGATCTTCCAACAGGACGGCTGATACTATAATATACAGCGTGTAAGAGGGTGGTGTAGGTTTTGCTCGGATATCTAGTAGACAGGAGCTGTCTGTCAGTCAGCACTCCCTTGCGTTACCCCCGGAGAACGGATGTATTGTCAGGGTAAGCCCTCTTCTCTCACTCCTTTTTTCGTCTATCCTTCTCTCCCTGCTGGCTCTCGGGATTTCCTTCCGCTTCCTCTCAAAGACCCGCTCTTTCGCGAACGTATCCTTCGTCTTCTTCCTTCAAATCCGGGCTTCCTTTCAAAGGAACACTGAGATATCCTTCGGCTATATCAAACCGCCGCTCAATGGATTCAGTCATTGAATCAGGTAGGATTTCGTAATTTTTTTCCTCTCCGTCTATCCTGTCTTCTGACCGTCCAAGATAGTCATGCAAGTCCTGTGTCTATATCGCACGCGGGAGTGAAAATAGTGGATGGAAACAATTTCTCATCGTCCCGTTGCAATCTTATCTCCAGCAACGGCGTTCGCTTTTCGCGAAGTAACTCGAACTGTTAAAGCCGGCTTGCTATCGTCTCGTTTCGTCGTCTCCTTCTTCCTTACGCTGCGGTATTTTATTTTTTTTCTCCTGATTCGACGACTCTTACTCACGATTAATCGCTTTTTTACGTTTCGCATCATAAACGCGTGAACAGAATGCCATCGATCGAGTTCAGAGTGAAGGAACGCCACTTCTTTTGCCTATAAATGCCACTTATTGGAAAAATGTTGAACATCCCATGTATAATAATTTAAAATTTCATCGCGTTGTACGGCAAGAATGTAAATTAAACGACGTAGGATATGTCATCTTTAATTTCCGACTACGAATTTTTTATACTTTGCACGTAACAATGAGCGATAATACTTAGAAAATTATATAAAGTTTGACTGTGCAGAATTCAAGATACATTTTAACATCATTCCTATTATTAAAACTATTCTTTGAAAGTAAATCCGCATAT